CACGGGGAGAAGACGGGCACGCCCCCAGTCCCGGCGCGCCCGGCCGCGAGCCGCGGGGAGAACCAACCAGCGAGGGGAAAATACCCACCATCTTCAGCGTGTCCCCCGCCTCTCTCCTCCCACCACAATGCTAGGCACACAACCAGGGCCAGCCTGGACGGACACGCGCACATGTAATAGAACAAGGTCATTTATTTTGGCAGATAGAAACTGGGTCTGTGGGTGGGAGACAGGGGCAGAGAGAGGGAGAGAGAGGCGGGAGGGAGCGCGCATGCTCACAAGCAAGGAGAGGCTCTCCCTCGGAGGTAGACCTTCACTCGATGCACCTCTGCATGCGTGGCCGGTCGCCTTTCCCCCGCGCCCGCCCCCTCGCCGCCGCCGCCGCCACCGCCGAGACCTCCGCCTGACATTCACCTCTTGGTGGGTGTGCGCGCGTGTCAGGCGCGCGCGCACACTCACGGACGAGAACACCAGGATGGGAGGTCATCATGGCCCCCAGAGGGAACGGGGGGACATGCGCGGGCGCAAGCGGCAGGCGGCAAGCAGGGGGGGGGGGGGCGGGGGCGAGGCATGGAAAGGGTCGGGGGAGCAACGCGAAAAGGAAAGAGGCATCCTGGCGCGCTTACAGGTCACCATGAGCGTGGTGGTCCTTCTTCTCCTCGTCCTTCTTCTCGTCCTTCTTCTCCTCCTTCTTCTCCTCCTCGGCGGCGGCGGCGGCGGCGGCGGGCTTGGGGGCGGTGCCGTTGGCCTCGATGAATTTCTTGAAGCCCTCGACGGTGCGCTCACCGTTGAAGTCCACAACCTTGCCGTCGGCGGTGACCAGCTTGATGGTGGGGAAGCCGTGGATCTCGAACCCGGCATCCAGGGGCAGGTCGTTGGCGGTGGCGTCCATCTTGGCAATGACGATGTTGGAGTTGGACTTCAGGTCGCCGGCGAGCTCATCGTAGATGGGGATGAGGTTCTTGCAGTGGCCGCACCAGGGGGCGTAGAACTGCACAAGGACATCCTTGCCCTTCTCGTTGACGATCGAGTCGTAGGTCTTGCCGACGACAACGGTGATCGGGCCCTCCTGCTTCTCGGGGATGGGCTCGGACTTGAGGGTGGGAGTGACAGAGCCATCGAGCATGCCCTTGGCCAGCTTGCCAATCGCCTCGGCGGTGATGGCCGCATCCTGGGACAGGGGGAACTTGGCGCCCTTCTGGCCCTGGATGGCGAAGGCCGGGAACTCCTGCTTGAGGTTCAGGGCCTCGGCGAAGGCGCCATACTTGGTGGCATCGAGGTAGACGAAGTTCATCTTGCCCTTGAGCTCCTTGGCGATGGCCTCGACGCCCTTGCCGAGGGTGGCACGGTGCTCGTCGGTGGTGACGAACAGGACGGCCATCGGCAGGGGGGAGCTGGCGAAGTGCTGGTAGTTGGACTGGTTCAGGTCCTCCATGAGGGCCACCGAGTTGTCGGAGACGAACTTCTGGACGGTGTCCACGGAGAAGTCCGAGCCCTGGAGGATGTTCTTGCCCTCGTCGAACTTCTTGAACAGGACAACAGCCGGGGCGGTGACGCCGTGGGCCTTGGCCAGGTCGGCCGAGGTGGTCGAAGCGAAGGACATCTTCTCGCGCAGCTTCTCGGCGACGTTCTTGAAGTTGGCGGCCTTGGCGTCGCCCTCCTCGAAGAAGCCGACAACAACGACGCGGTCGTCCTCGATGAACTTGGTCAGCTCGTCGGCCTTCTCGAAGGTGGAGACGGCGGGCAGGACCTGCCTGTGGTGCCGAGCGCAGCCGGAGGCAGAGGCCCGGCAGCGGGGGAGGGGAAAGGGGGAGGGGGAGAGAAGCACGCGATGGCACGAGCAGGTCAGTCATCACACCTCGGGCAATGCACGCACAGACACGCCCGAGCGCCCACGGTGCCGGCGCGCCCCTCGCCCCACACACACCCTTGCGACACAGGCGGGGGAGGAGAGGAGCGAGGCAAGGCGGGGCCGGCCGCGGGGAGGGGGGAGAGAACGTACTTCTTCATGAAAGAGACCAGGGCATCGACCTCACGGGCACCGGAGTAGTCGACGACGCTGTCGCCCTTGTTGCGGAAGACCTTGAGGGTGGGGTAGCCGCGGATGCCGTGCTTCTGGCAGAGCTCGGTCTGCTCAGTGCAGTCGACCTTGGCAATGGTGGCGATGCCCTTGAGCTTGGTGGCGGCCTCCTCGTACTTGGGAGCCAGCTGCTTGCAGTGGCCGCACCAGGGGGCGAAGAACTCGACCATGGAGGTGGCACCCTCGGCGTTGACGACGGAGTCGAAGTTGTCCTTGTTGAGGTCGACAACATCGGAGGCGGCGGCGATGGCGGTGAGGGCCAGGAGGGCCATGAGGGCCAGGCCGAAGGCAGAGCGGGTAGCGGGAGCCATGTTGAACAGTGCGGTGGGGGGAGAACTGGGCGGGAGAGAGGGCGGGGCGGGGGG